AGGAACAGTAGTCAACGTAACCGCAAGCCCGCACCTTATCCGAAATTATCTTCAAACTAAAATAGGGCCACCTTGAGTCATCAGGTACTTGCCAAGTGATCGCCACCCCTCGGTAAGAGGTGGGCTTTCCGATTAGATCTTTGGCAGAAACCCCGGTCAGATAAACATTTTTTATTTTTAATTACATAATAATTATGTTCATTTGTGTAATTATAGACCATATATATATATATATATATATCGTATATATATATATATAATATATCTATCAGCAGCTCGCGCGCGAGCGCGCGCGATAGCGCTGCGTCAGCGCGACGAGCAGCGCGCGCGCAGCACCCCGCGTCCTGTGTGTTTGTGTGATGAGCATTGTGTCTCTCTCTCTATCTCTCTTCTATCTCTCTCTCTAGCTCTATCTATCATCTATTATTTCCCTCTCTCTCTCTCTTCTCTCTCCCCCTGTTGGTCCCGGGGTAGACTGTAAATGTATTTGCTCTTTTTCCGCACTGGCACTACTCATTAGCACAGAGCACTCTAATCGAGGTTTGTGCCCACGGCGGGGGTTTTCGACACAGTCGGGTTGAGGAGTCCATGCACTTAGAAAGAAGCTGTTTCTTTGCGCTTATAGCGTACAACACCCTGGCTGTCCTACACAGCCAGGGACCAGCCGGGTGGTTGAGGACCTTGTTCCACCTCAGGGCACCCAGAATGATCCTGGCAAGCGTCATTTGGAACTGTCTCCACAATGGGCCGGACAGCATGTCTTGCAAAACATCTTAGTACTTTGTGTCTGGCCCATGGCCTCTTTCCCAGTCCATTACTCCTCATGACATAACAGTTCTTGGTTTTGGTTTCAGTGGGTTAACCAGGGTACTGGACCTCCTCGGGAAGGATGGGCCCGGTCTATCCTTACCCCAGAGGTTTTGCCGCCCTGGTCCACTCCCTGGATTAGGCCTGTCCCTACAACACTTGCACTCCTCAGCCAAGGTCCCACAAACGCTGGGCTTATTCAAGCTAAATAATGCTCCCAGTGGAGGTGATACAGGTTCGTCTCATACGAATATAATTTTGGTGCCGCCACACTGGGAGGTTAATGTTGAAATGCAGGTCATTTAAGGTGTTAAATAGGCCTGGACTGAGAACCCCACCCTGTGGCGTGACCCATTAATTTGACTCTGGCTGTTTCGTCCTGAAGTATTCATCTATCCAAGCCAAGAGCTTTCCTCTGAGTTTCCTTCTGGATCAGCTCCTCCTGAATGGCAAGAGGACTTGCTAATTCAAGGCCTTCTCCAGTCAAGGAATACGACCCACAAATATACCCTTTCTGATTGTACTTAAGAGCATGGCTATGCTGTTCGCTGTGCACATCCCCCTGTGAACCCTTGGAGGTGTTCATGTTGGGGCCCTATTTTCCATTGGAGCCAGTTTAGTACAATCCTCCTCTGGCGTGGGGCCAGATGCTGAGAGAGAGATGGTGTGTTACTCACTTCCTGCTTCCTTTGTTTTTGGGATGGGGACTATGGAGCCTCTTCCAACTCGGGGGTAAGAGTGGAATTTCCAGGGTTTGTTGGTGATTGCAGGAGTGCAAGCTCAACCTGCTAGTCCTAGATGGGATATAATGGTACGAGATCCCTCAGAGCCCGGGGCTGTGTTGGAACTGAATTTATAGTCTTTTTCTTTCTTGGTTCCCCGCATGAGACAAGAACACCATAGGATTACCGGGTTTTCGGCTTGTCCCTTATAATCAACTAGATCAATAACCAGTCCTGTCTGATTGATGGGTTCTTGATCATTACAACCTCAAACTCAGGACATGAGCAGACTGTCTAGCTGCTTGTTCTCGCAAGAAAACTTGCGTGCTAATCATCTTTTGCCATCTGCTTGAGCGGTCAATGATGTGTGCACCCAAACCTCGTGACTGAGCAAATCGCCTGGTAGCCATCGCCTGCGACCGTTGCCATAATCTCTGAAACGGGTGGTTTTTCGTAGGTCAAAAAGGACACCCATTCCAACCTCGTTGGCGTAGTTTTCCTTGGCATCACCTGATGCAAGCAATACAAACCACCACAAGTTCATCTTATATCCACTACAACAAAACAAAACCCATCCTTTACAACCCTGAGTCCACCCTAACCTCGCTACACAGGTTCCCAAACTCTCACCAGTCGTATCGCGACGACTCGCAGCCACGCGACCCCATCGCCGCGTCCCAGGTCCCGCCATCGATCAAGACCCCGCATCGTCGTGCTACGTCGACCGTCGACGAGCCTATTCGCTCATCACCGTCAAACGTACAACACCGCGGCCTCATCCCCGACTCCAGGTAGCATATTGATGCTACCACTCGCGCATATTCTTGCCACCGGGGCTCGATCGGTGTGAGCCCCATTGCCAATCGTCGATAGCATTATGGACTTCACGGTGGAACCTTACAACGGGAGTCTCTATGTTACACCAGCTCAGGAGCCTACAGGCAGGACCAAACCCATCAACTTGCAAACAACCGCCGAGGCCACACACTGTTCACACCACAGCTCGTTAGCGCGACTGCCCCTGCACCTCCGCATTGCAGGCCCCTCACCGGACAGAGTTTGACATATGAGGGACCTTGGAATCCTACAGCCTGTCCAACATCCAAGGGGTGGCAAGTTGGCCCGCGCACCAAGAGACCGCGGGCGACGAAGCTTGCAATTCTCAAAAAAGACCCGCCTTAAGGTTACTCTGTGTGGCTGGGCACCGACCGGGCGGGTAGGACAAAGCCGAGTCACAACCAGCTGATACAGCTTTACCAGGCGTCATTCAGTCGACGTCGGCCGGTCTGCCCACTCATTGACATACCCCGGAACGAGGCTCAGCTCGCATATCGACTTATCCGTCTGCACACCCATAGGAACCCGACGTAAGTCCTATTGGCTACTTAGGTTCCAGTCTCACCGCTTGCTCTCGGAACCTTACTGAGAGTAAACATCGCGCCTGGCCCATTTCAGGCGACGGAGTCCAGGAACCGCGCTACACCCTCTAAACCCTCTGCTAGACTCGTGAACACAGAGTATTTAGCTACCGGCTGTTTATATCTCATCAACGACAATCTTTAGTTATAACTACTTCTGGCCTTAACTCGGTCCTTGTTGCTATTACGTCCGCTCAGAATGCATGGCCTCTGTTTGCATTCTCATCAAGCAGTAATCTTGTATTCATGTAATGATTACATAATATCTTACCCATACCACACTTAGAAAGGCCTTCTGTATTACTGACGTCCATTCTTCGATATAATCTCTAAGGACAGAGGACTGATTCTCAGGTCCATCTCTTGTTTTTCAATTGCTTTTCAATTCTTACGCAGACTCAATAATTACGACTTCAACTAATCAGCAATCCGGTACCTCCAAGGAAGGAAAACATATCAATCCTGCGCTGGAAGTTTCCTGTTAAACATCCCGGACTGCCGAGTACACTCCAGAAAGCGCAAGCCCGTCCCACATTTAGCAGTGAGTACATTTGCAATGCCTTGGGAACCGCTGAGTGCCACTGCCCACCAGGGGCGTCCCAAGACTTCTGTGGTTTCACTTTTCTATGACATATTTAAGCACATGTGTGATCTTATATAATTATATACTCATATACCTAAGACCTATATATATACTATATAGTTATCTTATATAGTGCTCCTGTCTATTCTATATACTCACTCTCCCACGTCACTGCTCTCGGCTCCTCTCTCTACTCTTTCTAACCGTGTGTGTGTCTCTCTCATACATAACTATCGTACTCTCAGATACATCTAATCTCATCTCTATACTCTATATATCTCGATCTCTACCTCCTCTCCTTATATAGCATCTCTCTAGACCCCTCTATTTACCATGACCTATAACAATATGCTATATATCGTATATATGTGTGTGATGTGTGTGTGTAGTGTTGTGTGTGGTGTGTGTGTGTGGTGTTTGTGGTGTATGTGTTGTGGGTGCACAACCACACACACAACCACACCCACACACACCAACACACACCAACCAACCACCAACATTATATATATATATCTATTAATACTTACAGATACTATTATATATTAATATATTGTCACACAATCACCCAATATACAAACCATTAATGTGGGTAATATATTATGTATCTATATTATATATGTGTGTGGTGTGTGGTGTGTGTGTTTGTTTGGTGGTGTGTGTGTGGGTGTGGGTGTGGTGGTTTTGGGGGTTTGTTTGTTTTTGTGTGGGTTGTTTTATGGTACATGATATATGCCAAACATATCTATATATTAATATATAATATAGTATAGTAAAATATATAATTATATAATTATAGTATATATTATATATATATATGTATAAATAATATACATAATTATATAATATTATGTATAGATATAAATTTGTTATATTAATATATATAATATATTATATATATAATATGATATAGTTAATAGATTAATCTATATATTGGTGTGTTTTAGTGTGTGTGGTTGTGTTGTGTGTTGGTTGTGTGGTAATTTTTCGAAAAAAAAAATCTTTCTTCTCCCTTTGCTAATTTTTCCTCAAGCCCGAAACAAACGAATATAAAAAGGAATTATACCCACGTGGGAAAATCTCCTTAAGTAAAAAAATTGCCCAACACAAGAGGTGAAAAGGCCCCTCCCCTTTTTTTCCCAAGGGTGGCCACCCACTCCCCTGGGATGGGCTCCCTGAAGGCCCTCCCCTGATGGGCCCCCTCCCCTGAAAGGCCCCCCTCCCCATGATGGTCCCCTGTTTTTTCCCTGAAAGGGCCTTCCCTGATGGGCTTCCCCTTGATTTGGGGCCCCGCCCCTGAGGCCTCGCCTCCCCCCTGATGGGGGCCTCCGCCCCTGAAAGGGCCTCCCCCCTGCATGGGCTCCCGCGCCCTGATGGGCCCCTCACCCCTGAATGGCCCTCCCCTGATGGCCCTCCCCCTGAAGGCCCCTCCCCTGATGGGGTCATCCACCTGATGGGCTTCCCCTGATTGGGCTCCCCTGAAGCCCTCCCCTGAATGGGGCATTTCCCCCCC